GTTCCTCAAAAAATTCAACATAGAATGATCTTATGATCCAGCTTCTGGATCTACACCTAAAGGAATTGAAAGTGGGCACTCAAAACAGACTACTGTATGTCCATGTTTGAAACTGCATTATTCACAATAGCCAAAAGGTAGAAAACAACTCAAATGTCCATCAACAGAAAAATGGATAAACAAAATGTGGTACATACATTCAATGGAATATTATTCAGTCTTAAAAGGGAAGGAAATTCTGACACATGCTACAACACCCATGAACTTTGAAGACATTATGCTAAGTGAAATAAGCCAGACACAAAAGGACATATAATGTATAATTTCCATTATATGAGATACGTAGAGTAGACAAATTCATAGAGACAGAAAGTAGAATAATAGCTAGGGGCTGGGTAAGAGAGTAATGGGGAGTTATGATTTAATGGGTATACAGTTTGGTTTGAAATGATGAAAAAATTCTGGAAATGGAGAGTGGTGATGATTGCACAACAAAGTAAATGTACTTAGCCAGTGGATGGTACAGTTAAAAAATGGTTAAAATGGTAAGTTGTATGTTATGTATATTTAATCACAATAAAAAGAATGCATTAAGATAACATTTTAAAAAGAAAAATGATGAACTTCAAAGTCAATGAGGCTAGCTTTAACAACAATCTCTGCCACTGAATAGTCATGTGACCATGGGCAAGGTCCTTGCTCGTTGAGGTCCGAATTCCTCAGCTGCAGAATAGAGATAAAATTCATTCACAATACAAGTTTCTAAATACAAGAAATAATGTAAAGTGCCTAACACCACTGAGCGTATGAATTAACTAAAATTCTTGGTTGCAAGAAATGGAATCACAGGGGCGCCTGGGTGGCTCAGCCATTAAGTGTCTGCCTTCGGCTCAGGTCATGGTCCCAGGGTCCTGGATTCGAGCCCCACATCAGGCTCCCTGCTTGGCGGGGAGTCTGCTTCTTCCTCTCCCACTCCCCCTGCTTGTGTTCCTGCTCTCGCTGTCAAATAAATTAAAAAAATCTTTAAAAAAAAAAAAAGAAATGGAACCACAAATGACCTACCTTTGAGAATTTATTGGCTTATTGAGGCAAACTACCAGAGGGTCAAGGCCAGATGCTGGCACTAGGAACAACTGGAACTAAGCTGCCGTCCAATAATATCAAGTTCTTTTAATCTGACCTGTCATTTCTGTATAGTAGTTTCTCTGATTGCTAGAGAGTATTACTAATGGGATTTTAGACACACATTCCTATGCTTTCACAACTGGATAAAAAGAGAGCTCTTCCTTTGCTGCTATTTGAAAAAATACTGGGGAAAGATTCTGATTGGACTTGGTCACATGCTGAACCCCTAGCCCAATCACTGTGGCTGGAAAGTAAGAACACCCCCATTGAAAGCCCAAGATAAGGAGGGAGGATGGAGATAGCCACTGGGAAAGTAGATGTGAACCAAGTAGCCATCCTATTGGGTGACTATTATAGCCAATTTAGGAAATAATAATCTAGATTGTATATACAACATAAACAGGAACCATCCTAGATACCTGAACAGAGAATTTATCATTTTATCTAAGAAATATGCATTTCATGTTGTTTTGAACTAATTAATTCAGTCACTCATTATCAATACTCATTAGTCACTCATTATTAACACTAAGTTACTACATAGAGGATAATTTTCTGAATAATTGAAATTTATTAATTTATTAACATTTTTATTTTGAACTTTAAAATATATTCTTTTTGTGACAAAATATAAAGACAATTTTCTTATATATGCAAGTTCATTTATCATGAAAATAAAATATCATACTGTGTTGCAATATACTAATACTCTCAGGAAAAATTTTGGTGTTCAGAACTGCTCAAATCCTTCACTCCAAAGCTCATAGAGCATCTTAAGGTCAATATTTGTTACTTCTCTTGCTACTATTCTCATTTTTCTGCTGTAAAAAACAAAAGAACAAAACAAAACAAACAAACAAAAACCCTTTCATCCTTCATCCTGCTTCTAACTGCTGAGTATTGAACATCCAGACAATCAATGACTGTTAGTAAAATAAGATTTTCAGGGTGTATTTTACAGGGAAAAAGTGATGGGCTTTGATCCAAAGAATTATTACAGGCATTCAAGAATTTGTTCTTCAGGTTCACAAAAGTGTTTTTGGAAAACTGGAAGCCAACCTTTGCCTGAAATTCAGGCACTTCAAAGTATTGAGTCAAGACATATTAAATCTTACGGTGGAATCAAAGATGGCTGAGACACTGAAAGTTTTTAACCTAGTCATTTAAACACTTACGAAAATTAACTGTAAGGAGAATATCACCAAGTTTAAATTGCTCGGTTCAGATATATACTAGAAATTCAGAAGAAATATGTTTCAAATTTATTTGACCCAAGATATACTGGTTATTAAATTTCTCAAATAGATTTTCTGAGGAAGTATTAACCAAATTAAGACAATCTTGACTCTAAGGTACATCATTAAAGTGACTGACAAAGTAGCTACTGATGCAGAGAACGCTCACAGTCGGTACAGTAATCCTTATTGATACTTAGTGATTTCCACAATTTCTCTTCAAGGTTACTTTGACTTTGCTCTTGACCAAAGTATTGATGGTTGTGGCAACAATGATGTGTTTAAGGGAAAAACGACCCAGAAGGAGCACAGAGAACAAGTATGCTCTCTTTATTTATTTCACCATCTTCAGAAAGGCTTGTGATATTATCATCTCTCACCCAGAAACAAAGTTCATGACCTAGTATTTTCAGTAGCAAATGCTCAAATACTTAAAGAATTTAATCAAATCTGTAATTGCACATTCTTAAAAGAGGAAATGAGTGTTGAAGGGAAGATTAGGGAGGACAGGAAAAATCCAAAATCTTTCTTGTTTTCCCTTTCAGAAAGCCTAGTAGGCATAGAAAATATTATTTTTCTCATGTGATTAGAAGAAGAAATAAGTGATAAAACATCAAAAGTAACCACAAGCAAAAAGAATGCAGTTCTTATGTACACTCACGGCCTCCCATTCTAGGAGGGCAAACCCACAGATAAAACCTGTGCCCCTGCCAAGCTCTGCCAAGGCATTAAGTCTCTCCAGCTATGTAAACTGCAGAGAGTTTGCAAAGGAACAAATCCAGGACATAACCCCCTTGAAAACAACAAAAGGGATACTTGTCCAGACATTCACATTGCATCACGCCACTTCACAACTTATAATGAGTCTAGAAAGAGAGGCATGGTTTTGGCATGGCCAGTCCTGTAATTCTCATTCCATAAGACAAAGCAAGCACATCATCATTTTCTAGTCTACATTTTATCTGCTTGAATCCACCTAGTGAGACATTCACAAAACTGTTAAATCAAACTAAGCCAAATCAAAGTGGGTTTTTTTTGCTATAAATTGTAAAATTTATTAGCAATCAATCAAGGCCTCATACACTTATTTTAGGGGTTTATCTAAGCAACTTTTTCTTTCCTCCCCCTGTCTATCTCACTGATAATTGGCTTCTAATATAGAGAGTTTGAGGGAATTTTGTTATGTTTTCTGTGTATATGGGCTTTTGGGGCATGTCTTCTGCATACATTTCACACTATTCTAGATGCTTAAGTTGTAAACTATACTACTGCACAAGTAGTTAAGCCTTAACCTCACACAGTGAGGAAGAAGAATTTTGCAGATAAAAACTCAGACAGGGATAGATGGAAAGATAGATAGACAAACAGACAGACAGGAAGCTGATCAATGTGCCTTTTACCACCATGAGATTTAGGGTATAATCTTCTACTCCTAAGTCTCCCATATTTCCCCAACAGACCAAATATTTACAACCTGTACATTTAAAATAGCTACTGTTTGGAAAGGGCCATAGCTGACATTCACAAAGTTAATTAAGTAATATCTAAAGTGTCAAAACAGGTCCATTTCATGAATTTTTTTTCCCTAGCATTTTTGAGTTTCTCAAAATTTTTCCAGATTTAACATAATTTTAGTTTCAGGTTTGTGTAAATTTGGACTCAAATTCTTCTGTTTTCAGTAAACTTGGGAAAATCTCCCTCACTGCCAATATTTGCAATGTAAAATAGTAAGGGCCACAGCAATGTATAAGAGTTTTTAAGACTCAGTATACGTTTTATGGTACACTGTCATTCTTATTTCCTAAAATCTGTTGTTCAAAAGACTAGAGGAGAATTAAGAAGACTCAAGTCATGGTGCCTGGGTGGCTTAGTTAGTTAAGCACCTGATTCTTGGTTTTGGCTCAGATCATGATCTCGGGGCCGTGAGATCACCTGCATCTGGCTCTACACTCAGCCGCGGAGTCTGCTTCAGATTCTCTATCCCTCTCCCTCTGCCCCTTCCCACCACACAGTCTCCCTCTCTCTTGCTCTCTCTCTAAAATAAATAAATAACTCTTAAAAAAAAAAGAAGAAGAAGACTGAAGTCACAGCTTCTTGCCCCACGGCTTCTTTTTCCTGCCTTCATCTCTTTGGTCTAACAACTTACGCTGATGAAGGTATGGGAGGCAATATTCATTACTCACTGTCTTAGTACGTCAGCAATACAAAAAACATGCAGCTCAACAATCCTTCTCCTGCTGAATAGTGAAGAAGAGTGTTTAGCATGGCAAAGATTAGTTATATAGGGCCCAGAGCCACTCCTGAGGAGCTTATGCACTAGTTGAAGCGTTGGAACTAATGTATAGTAAACATTACATTGCCAACTGAAGGCAATCCATTTGGTTTGAAGTTGGGAGCACTGGTAGGGCTGACAACTTCTCGTGAAAGCTGAGGAGCTACCTAATGGAGGTTTAATATAAAGACATCACCTAGCTCTATACACAGGTAAGTCACTAAAGCGCCTGCAGACCAAGGGATCCTTATCATAATATTGGAAGGATTGACTTCTATCTAGAAGCCATACTGCATTAGTCAGCTAGGACTGTCATAGCAAAATACCACAGACTGGGTGGCTTAAACAACAGAAATTTATGTTCTCACAGTCTTAGAGGCTTGGAGTCCAAGATCAAGGTGCTGGCAAGATTGGTTTCTGGTGAGGCTTCTCTTCCTGGTTGGTGGATGGCCACTTTCTCACCATATCCTCACATGGTCTTTCCTCTGTGCGGCTGAGAGAGAGAGAGAGACCCTCTTATGTCTCTTCCTCTTCACACCAGAACATCACACCAGTCCTATTGGTTTATAAGGCTCCATCCTCAAGATTCCATTTAACTTCTATTACCTCTTTATGGCCCTAGCTCCACATACAGTCATACTGTGAGTTAGGGTTTCAACATGCGAATTTAGGGGAAATACAGTTCGGTCCATAATACATACCATAAGTTGAAAGAGTTAATGGAAGACTAAGACTACCAGAAGATTATGGTACTTAGGCCCTTGTAAATTTCCTTGGGGGAAAAGAAAATCAGTCTCCAGTGAAATATGCTTTAGTTTTATAGCTCTAGCTTTTATTGAAGTTTGCCACATGAACTATTTCTCTCTTTTTTTGAGGATACTGTCTATTCCCAGTATTCAATTCCTTCTACATAAGCTCTATGTAAGATTTGTCTTTTAGAATTTAGTACCAGGGGCAAAACTGTCTTCATGAGAATTTCCTATAATTCCTTAAAATGCCAAGAACCTCATACTATAATATTTTCATTTTTACTTCTAGACTGGCAGGAAATTTTGGCTCATATTGGACGCTCAAACATAGCAAACTTATTTACTTATATTTGCAACCATCCTCTTACATGTTTTGCTTTTCATCCTGATTCTCTTATACATTTTTAGTAAAAATCCTCTGAATATCCTTTTTAGTAGGCTCATATTTCATATTTTCATGAAAAAGATAAGTGTTTAAAGAAATCCCTGGCACTACAAGTATCTTCATAAAATTAAAGCAGATTTTTAAAAATCAGATGGCAGATACCAGTTTTTGTGGGAAAAAAAAACAGAAAAAAAAACGGGGCGCCTGGGTGGCTCAGTCATTAAGCGTCTGCCTTCGACTCAGGTCATGATCCCAGGGTCCTGGAATCGAGTCCCGCATTGGGCTCCCTGCTCCGTGGGAAGCCTGCTTCTTCCTCTCCCACTCCCCCTCCTTGTGTTCCCTCTCTCACTGTTTCTCTCTCTGTTAAATAAATAAATCTTTAAAAAAAAATAAAAATAAAAAGAGCAGCCACCAAAGAAGAGAATTCTGATTTATCCTTAAGTTTTCACTCACCATACCCAGGAAAATGAATACCTAGCAATGACTATGAAAATAAAGTTTCATAAGCAGCAAAATGCATTTAAAAGTGGAAACAAAGCTTTCAACAGAATAAATAATTTTAAGCCATTATATACGAATTAACTTTCATGCTGGTTGGTAGTAAATCAAATTGGCTAGCAATAGTCACTAGGAAGTAAGTTCTACTCTTTTGTTGCTATGCGCCCACTTTTTCTGCATTGGACCTCTGTATCAGGCAGCATACCACTGGACAGTGCAGCTTAAAGAGGAAACAAAAGCGGCAGTAGCAGCATCCAGGAAGAAAAGGACAGATGCCCTTCTGTGTCTCTGCATGTGCTAGGATGTGATGTTAAGGCCTCGCACTGGTAAGATTAATGCCTAAGGAAAGGCTGAGTTTTGTTTTGTTTTTAAAGATTTTATTTATTTATTTGGCAGAGAGAGACACAGTGAGAGAGGGAACACAAGCAGGGGGAGTGGGAGAGGGAGAAGCAGGCTTCCCGCGGAGCAGGTAGCCCGACACGGGGCTCGATCCCAGGACCCCGGGATCATGACCTGAGCTGAAGGCAGACGCTTAACGACTGAGCCACCCAGGCACCCCAAGGCTGAGTCTTTTAAGTTTTAGAAAGAAACTGTAGTTTCTGGAAAAGCAGTTTATGAAACAAAAGGTCAAAGAAATTAGAAACTAAAATATTTAGCTCTTTTATAATGGTATAGAATCAGTGCACTGGAGTAACATGTTGCACTATGCTGTGCAAATGTTTTACACATGCCTGTGTAAAAGTACAGGGGATGCATTGACAAAATATCGGCAACATGTGTTGATAATATTTAAAATCTATCAATCATGTAGGGATGTCAGAAAACAATATGTTGTTGGATCTGCCAAAAACTGGGTAAGGTCTTCCTGAAATTCTTCACAAGTATGGCAGACCTCCATAAAAACTCTGCCTTGTATTATGGTCCCAACTAAATGGAAAAAAAAATTAAGTAAAGCAAATTACATTCTGATAGGGGTCTGATAGGAAGTCTCTGGACAAATTTTCACAAAGTAGGTGAGAAAGACTAGGTTAAATCCTGTATGGAAAATTACATCAAGATGGAGACCAAACATAAGCAACTACCTTCCCTATCTAAAAGCTTCTAAAACAAATAGGAAAGATAACATGGGAGAGAATAACTCCTGAAGCATAACTCCTGAAACAAGAAAGGGTACATTAGCAGAATACCAAATGCTGGCAAGGATATGGAGCAATAGGAAGTCTCACTTATTGTTGATGGGAATGCAAAACTGATGTAGCACTTTGGAAAAGTTTGGCAGTTCCTTACAAAGTTAAATATATGCTTACTGCTATCAAATGTTTGTGTGCCCCCCAAATTCATATGTTGAAGCCGAATCTCCAACATGATGATAATTGGAGGTAAAGCCTTTGGAAGGTTTTTAGGTCATGAGGGTGTAGCCCTCATGAATGGGATTAGTGTCGTTATATTAGAGACTTCAGAGAGATCTCTCACCCTTCCCACCATGTGAGGACACAGTAAGAAGATGGCTTTCTATGAACCAGGAAGAAGATCCTCAATCAGATATTGAATCTGTCAGCACCTTGATCTTGGACTTCGCAACCTCTATAACTATAAGAAATAAATTTCTATTGTGTATAAGCCACCCAGTCTATGGTACTTTGTTATACCAGCCCAAAAGGACTAAGGAGATATAGAAAATATACAAATTTATTTTTCCATATGTCATGATAGGAAAGCCAAGAATCCCAGAAAAAACTGCTGTTCATCTGTTTACCATGCTCATATCCCACACTCTATTTCCACTGCACAAGGGCACTTATTATAACATATAGCATTGCCTGTTTGTAATCATCTATGTCTTTTATAAGAGCATCAGTTCTGTCAGGGGAAGGACTGTAGCTATCCTGTTCAATGATATATCACCAGAACTCTAAAAATATTTTTATAAGTTGAATTGAATGACTCAATTCCAACTTAAATGATGAGAGAAGTGCTATATCTAAAAAAAAAAAAAAAAATGGCTGTAGCCAGTATTCATCTTGCCTCCACTCACCGTAGTAACGAAAGTGAACATTCTATAAATAAGTACAGCACATAGCTTTACATTTTTTGGAAAGTTAGTGATCCCTATTTAATATAGTGAGTCAATACTAGGAGAATAGAAATATGCTAAATTAATCTACATATTTAAATTAATTTTGGAATAGCTTCCAAGGAAGAAATGGAACCTAGAAAGAAAATCAAATTATCTACTCAGTATTTTTCCAGTATTCCTTCACCTGGTAATATGGCAAACCTAGGACTCGGTTGAGCAATTTCTAAGCACCATACTATATGAAGTTCCTAAAAAATACATCTACTTTGACTGTAACATTAAAAAAACTATAGGTAAAGCCAACTTTTGAAAAAGGCAGTTGCCTGAGTATTTGAGGATGTCTTCCATTTGTTACTAAAAAGTCTTGAAATTGTATTTCTTTTAAAGTAATAAAGGACTATTTGGAAACTGGAGATTCAGGTAGATCAGAAACAAAAATTATAGACCAAACAACCAATGAGTCAACAAAGAAAGATGAAATAAAAAAAAATACACACGACAAATGAAAATGGAAATACAACTTTCCAAAATCTATGAGATACAGCAAAAGCAGTTCTATAAGGAAAATTCATAGTGCTATATGCCTACCTCAAGAAACAAGAACAATCGCAAGTAAGCTATCTAACTTTACACCTAAAGGAATTAGGAAAAAAAAAAAAAAGAACAAGCAAAGCCCAAAATGAGTAGAAGGAAGGAATAATAAAGATCAGAACAGAAATAAATGAAATAGAGTCTTAAAAAATAGAAAAGATCAATGAGACTAAAAGCTGGTTCTTGGAAAAGATAAACAAAATTGATAAACCTCCAGCAAGACTCATTAAGAAAAAAAGAGAGCAGACTCAAATAAAAGCAGAAATGAAAGAGGAGAAGTTAAAACTGTTACCACAAAAGTACAAAGGATCATAAGAGATTACTATGAACAATTATACACCAACAAATTGGAAAACCTAGAAGAAATGGATAAATTCGTAGAAACACACAACCTTTGGGGACTGAATCATAAAGAAATAGAAAATCTGAACAGATTGATTACAAATAATGAAATTGAACAGTAATCTAAAACTTCCAAAAAACAGAAGTCCAGGACTTGACAGCTTCACAGGTAAATTCTATCAAGCATTTAAAGAAGAGTTAGTACCAGGCACCCACTGGAGCCCATGGCCCTACATGGGAGCCCAGCGAGCCTGCCAAGGAGAAGTGCTTTAAACTCCTAGGAATTTTAGATGTCAAAAACATTCCCTGTGCATGGGATTTGATATTGTATGATTCATTAGGATTTGTTGTGGCTGGCCTTGGAAATTTTTTGTTAACTAATAGAATTAGAAGATTGTATGATGTTGGAGTAGGAGGATTTATCTTGGTGACTTTAGGATGTTGGTTCCATTGTAGGTATAATTATGCAAAGCTAAGAATCCAGGAAAGAACTGCCAGAGAAGGAATTAAAAATAAGATGTTGGGGGCACCTGAGTGGCTCAGTCCTTGAGCATCTGCCTTTGGGTCGGGTCATGATCCCAGCAATCTGGGATCGAGCCCTGTGTCGGGGTCCCTGCTCAGTGGGAAGCTGGCTTCTCCCTCTCCCACTCCCCCTGCTTGTGCTCCCTCTCTCACTGTCTTTCTCTCTGTCAAATAAATAAATAAAAATCTATAAAAAAATAAAAATAAGATGTTGTATGAAAGTATCCACCTTGATCCTGAAAGAAAACAAACCAATGGCAACAGCAGGAATTGAGCAGTCTCAAGCATAGAAAACCCAAATACAACTCACAGAGTCAGTGTAAACAAAACTGAGGTCTGGGATGCCTGGGTGGCTCAGTCGGTTAAGCATCTCCCTTTGGCTCAGGTCATGATCCCAGGGTCCTGGGATCAAGTCCTGCATCAGGCTCCTTGCTCGGCAGGGAGCCCGTTCTCCCTCTGCCTGCTTCTCCCCCTGCTTGTGCTCTCTCTCTCTCTCTGAGAAATAAATAAAATCTTAAAAAAAAAAAAACAAAAAACTGAGGTCAACTCCATTAAACCTCGTATGTACATAAGGCTTTCAATCAAATAAATAAAGTAAGTGTTAGTTGGAGGGAGGAGGAGGAGGAGGAGAAGGAGAAGAAGGAGAAGAGGGAGAAGAGGGAGAAGAAGAAGAAGAAGAAGTTGTTAGTACCCATCCATCTCAAATTATTCCAAAAAATTGAATAGAAAGTGATGCTTCCAAACCCATCTTATGAAGTTAGCATTTCCTGAGACCAACACTAAACAAAGACCCACAAAAAAAGAAAATTACAGGCCAATATCTCTGATAAACATAGATGCAGAAATCCCAACAAAATATT